GCATCATGAGATCCACCTGATAAAAGCTTAATGAATGTGAAAGAGTTGAGAGAGAGATGAACTTGTGGAGATTCCTTGCTGAGTTGATATATATCTGAGTATGACTTTGCATTGCATAATTGAGCATGAACTTGAGTTCTCATTGTGATCACTTCTCTCAAAAAGAAAATGTGAACTCCCATTGCATACAACCTCTTTCTCTCATTTGCTCTTTTTGCTTGAGGACAAGCAAAGGACAAGTGTGGGGGAGTTGATATGTTCATAATTTGCATCATTTAGGTTGCATAAATCACTCCAAATCATGTTTTATTTCATGCATTTTAGGTCCTTAGGGTTTGTTTTAGAACTTAGGAGATGCATTAGGTCCCAATCAGTCTATTGCATGTTTTGAGTGTCTATCAGGTGAATGTGGAGCTGAAAAGATGAATCAAGGAGGTGGAATGGTGAGCAAAGCTTGAAAAAGTGGAAAACTTGGGTCTATGGAGGTTATCGGCCATTCTCGCTGGCCAGGAAGGTTTTGTCGACCATTTTCACGTACCGCGGGTGAACTTTGTCGACCAAAACACGTACCGCGAGTGAAGTGTATCGGCCAAAATCTCCGGGTGCAATCATGTTTCAGAAATCGCCTGTCCGGGGAGCCTTCCGGTCCGATTCAGACGGCGGGTGCTTCATAGAAGTTGGAGAGCATTGCATCACGGTCTCTTAGCAAGTGGAATCGTGGAATTCGGACGCGTGAGCAGAGAGATAAGCTTGTCGGAAGGAACCCCAGTCTCGCAGGTATTCCGGACCGAGCAGATCAGTTCTGAAGGATGCGAAGGACGGTGCACTTCCAGGCCGATTCAGCTTCCGGGTCCTTCATGAGAATCAGAGACATTTGAGTCTTCTTTCCAGAACGTCCAAGAGCATTCAATTCGGATCTATGAGCAGGAAGATACGGCCTCCGGAATGGACACATGTCTAGACGCCTCTCTCTGGTCGTATACATGCACTGCAAAGATGTGCCCTCCAGGAAGCCTTCCACCTCCCAAGCACTGAAACTTCCTTCACAAAAGTTGGAGATAAATGAGTCCTCTGTCTTCTGCAACCGAAATCATTCAATTCGGACAAGTATCACAGGAGTTACACTCTCCGGAATGCGAAGTGATCTAAGCTGCTCTGGATGCTGCGAGATGGTCTTGCGACTTGGTTAACCCGCAGGCCTGAAGATGAACGCCTGAATGCTGATGCTGCGAGTTGAAATGTGCGGGTAAACTATCACTGGAAGAGGTCTGGAGCTCCCGAGCAAGAGAAATGCTAAGTCCACAATCGTGCGACTTAGGCATGCGAGTCATCCGCGCCTGGATCTATGCCGCACGATCACTCGGAATTCACTCCGACTTGAGCCTGCGACCTAAGTGCAATAGAGACCAACCCGCACAGTTTCTACATCCCCCAGAAACCGGCTCAGCCCTGCGAGTTGGAGAGGAAGGAGACCATGCCGCAGAAACACTCGCAATTTACTCCTAGATAGGCGTGCGGCTCCGACAAGGTGATTCAAGCCTCACAAGACAAGTCTTCATCTACTGCGACTTAGGTGTGCGGCCTGGGACATACTGAACCGACCCGCAGCTTTTCCCACTTTATCCATTAAAGCCGGGTCAGGACCCGGTTTGTTCCGGGCTGACCCGGTTCGTTTTTAAGAAGGTATAAATTCTTTTTAGGGTTTTTTTGGGGGAGAACTAAGTTTTATTCCCTTTGTCTCTTGCCTCTTTGGTGAAAAGACTCCATTAAGAAGAGAAATATCTTTATTTGAGTGTTTAATCAAGAGAGTTTAAGGAGATCTGGGTGTTTAAAGCTGTTTTCTTTTGAATCTATCATCTCCATCTCCATTTCTCATCATTAATCATGCTAATCTACTCAACTTGCAAAAGTTTAAGAGAGATTAGTATGATTAGTGAGTAGTCACCTTAATGAGGTTCTAGATGTGTAGGTTAGGGTGCTAAAGTGTTAGATTAGGAGTGCTTAGGGCTAGATTCATTGATTCATCTCTCTAAACAGCTGTTCTCTATGCTAGATCCTTGATAATCACTTGAGATCTAGATTCTGGGAATTTCATGCACCAAAAGTGTTTGATGAAATTCCTGAAAGAGTTGTGTTAGAGGTTTAAGTAATTTTTCATCATGGGAATGATTTGTTAAATGCTTGAATGATCATTAAGAGCTGTTTGTTAATGCATATTGATTCATGTTTCACAAATGGGAATTTGGTTTGAAAATGGATTAGTATAGGGGTTAATACCTTCATGAGAGGATTAACCTAGATTAGAGTTCTTAATCATTTGAATCATGTCTCATCATTGTCATTAGCATTTCTAGTTTAACACCAAGGCACCCTAACCAACTATCATGTCTAGAATCTCATGCCTCCATCATATCATATTCACATCATTTGTCATTGTCATTTGTCTTTAAACCTGTTTATGTTTATAGTTGTCTCTAGATTAATCAAAACCTATTCTTGTTTGCTTGAATTAAGAACTTGAACATATAGCTTAGTGTCTAACACCACATTTGGATTGATAAACCTCTTTGTGCTACATTGACAAGGGGATTGATAGCCCTGAGACCATAAAAAGTCTTGTCTATCATTATGTTATACGGCTCGGCCCATCTCCTTCTTCTCGGCTCTCCCACCTGGCGATCGCGGCTCTCCCGCCTTTCTCGGTAAAAACGGCTCTCCTTCTTGCCTTGGTGAGAACGGCTCTCCCGTTTTGATGATCACGGCTCTCCCATCTTCTATACTTAGTTATTTTGGGATGGTTTATCTGTGTGGGGTAGTTGGTGGATAAAAGCGAAAATAAAATAAGATAAAAGAAAAGAAAATGCTAATAGAACCGTTATGGCTGTCAAATGACAGTGAAGTGCTGATCAATCACTCATCCTTCGATGTGTCTGCTTCAAACCGGTGCTGTTCCTGTAGAAAGGTGACAATGCGCTCAAAGCGTCGTCCTTGTCTCTCAACTCTGCGCTCCAGGTCAGAATGTGTGTGTGACGATGTCGATGATTAAGTGTGGCCGGTCAAAACAGATGGCTGAAAGTGAGCACGTGCTGCATCTGCATCGCGCTTCGGCTTCGCCTTGGCCACTATGTATTGGCCGATGGCGAATGGTAGACGAGGCACAGATGGTAGAAACTCATCGCGTTCCGGAGTCCATCGCGAACGTCCTCCGTTACACAATCTCGGGACTGATGCTGAAGGTAAGCAGACTCTGTACTCCTCGGTGCCAGTGCAATACTTGTAACCAAACCTGTATGGATCGAAAGCGGCACGAGAGATAGTGTGATCGCAAGAAAGATAAAGTAGGTCATACCAGACGTCGGGAAGTGGATCATCAGATGAGAAATCGAATCCTACAGCCTGTAGTATCGCTATAATAGCGCTCCCATTGTTGGATTAAGCTTGAAGTAAACTTGAGCAGCAAGTTTTTCCTAAACAGATTAGGAATATATATATTTAGGAGTTATCTAAATATACTTAGGAGTTATCTAAGAAAAGGAAAATTGTATTTCTAATTGGTTTAGGGTTTAGGCAATAAGTCTCTATATATATGAAGTCACCAAGTTGTGGTAGACTCATGAGATTATAGAGATAGTTTGAGAGCTTTAAGTTTTGAGTAATTTTCTTAAAGCAATAAGAAGAGTTATTTCTTAATCTCAAGTCTTTGCACTTTACCCATAAGCTGGAGTAGCGTCCTCGCAACCATGTAGATCATGCTTCACCTTCACCATGTTCTGTGCTATGATCCAGGCAAAGCAGGCAAGTCGTGGGTCGTCCATAAATGGCATCTAAAGTGTAATGAGCTCGGTCTTCAAAACACATCCCATGTTGGCTCTAGAGAAATTCGTGCGTGCTAAGAGTTTGTGCACAATTCTCACTGCAGGATGAGTAAAGAGGGCTGATTTGGATTTCCCGCTATCATAGACGCCATGACCCATCTCTCTCCATAAGTCAAAATCGGGTTCTTCTTCAAGGTGAATGCCATCAGTGTATGGAAGTTTAAGAGCTTCACAAGAAGAAATGGTGAGCGAGTAAGTCTGTCCGCGGATAGAGAATGACAAGATGCCGTCAGATGCTCTGGGGTTCCTCCTCTTTGTGTGGTGGAGTGTGACAGTTTCTAAGAACTCGCGGACTAGCTCGGGATAAGTTGGAAGGTTCAGCTCCATGTAGGGTCTCAGCTTAAGTGCATCGATGTACCAGATCACATCCTCTCTGATTCCAAGCATCTCGAGTGTATGATAATCAATGCAAGGCGTGGGTTTGATGTTCAGCTTCTTGAAACATCTTGCATAGTCCACTCTCGGGTTGATCTCTTTCCCAATGTATCAGATCTGTGGTGGCTCGGGAACTGCTCGTGTTTCTCTTGAGTGCTGGAGCAGCCTCATCACGTAGTTTCTTCTTCTCGGTCTGGCTTGGTTCAGCATGTACTCTCCAAGAGTACTGATAACACCGTATTTTGACCACTTTTATGGATCGTTTTGAAATATTTTTTCTATGTTTTCTTATTGCTTTCAAGTACTTTTATTACGTTTTTCTAGTATTTGTAGTTCCAAGACTCTTTTCAGGAAACTTAGGGAAAAACTTAACAAAATAGATAGAAGACCAGATTTTTAGCTCATAGTCAAACCGTCAGAAGTTTACCCCCGATTGAAGGCCTTCTCACCCTCTGATCCAGCTCAAATTTGGAGATCTCAAAGATGGAAGTATCAGCTTTATAGCACACTTTACAGCTTGGCAGTCCAACGGTTCAATCAAAAGATACGCGAACAACAAAATATCCTGTAAACCAGCCGGCAAGTGTTTCCACCTGCGGCCAACAGGCTATTTCCCGCGGTCACAGCCATCCCGACCGCGGCCAGCCATCCATTCCCCGCGGTCACACTCATCCCGACCGCGGCCAGTCTTTGCACTTTATTTGGTATCAGAGCTAAGGTGTTAAGACGAAGATAATACGTTATATAGAGATGGGTGATATCGTTGCTACAGATCCGACCAAGCCAAAGGAGAGCGTGTCTTCCACAGTGCAATGTCCGATGTTGAATGCAACAAACTATACCGTGTTGGCTATGAGAATGAAAGTTGCACTCAGAGTCCACAAGGTATGGGACACGATCGAGCAAGGAGTTAAAGACGCAGACAAAGATGACCTAGCTAGAGCACTTCTATTCCAATCAATACCAGAATCTCTTCTCATAACAGTCGGAAACCTAAACACCACAAAAGAAGTTTGGGAGTCGATAAAAACCCGACATATGGGAGCAGAAAGGGTAAAAGAGGCTAGGTTCCAAACTCTGATGTCGGAATTTGATCGAATAAATATGAAGGAGACCGATACGATTGATGTTTTCTCAGCAAAACTTTCGGAGATTTCCACAAAAGTCGCAGCATTAGGAGAAGAAATTGAGGAGCCAAAGCTTGTTAAAAAGTTTCTCAAAAGTCTTCCTCGAGGAAGATATATACATATCATTGCTGCCCTTGAACAAGTCCTCGACCTTAACCAGACAAGCTTCGAAGATATTGTTGGGAGGTTAAAAGCGTACGAAGAAAGAATCACAGACGAAGAAGAACAGCAAGAAGAACAGGGCAAGCTCATGTACGCGAACCAGGAAACACAAGATTCGCAAAGCAGTGGGAGAGGTAGAGGACGAGGTGGAAGATTTTATGGAAGGGGCAGAGGACGTGGTCGCTACGGCAATCAACAAAACGGAGGATATACAGATAAATCCAAAGTTGTTTGCTATAGATGCGATAAAACAGGACATTATGCGTCGAATTGTCCTGATAGGATGCTTAAACTCCAAGAAGCACAAGAAACAGATGACAACAAAGATACACAAGAAGCCGAGCAGATGATGATGCACGAGGTTGTATACCTTAATGAAAGAAACGTCAAACCCAACTGTTTTGAGACAAGTTCCGATGGTGATCACATCTGGTACCTGGACAATGGGGCCAGCAATCACATGACTGGTGATCGAACTTATTTCAAAAGGCTAGACGAGACAATCACTGGAAAGGTACGGTTCGGTGATGATTCCCGCATCGACATCAAGGGCAAAGGGGCGATTCTGTTTATAACCAAGAATGGTGAGAAGAAGATATTGGCAGATGTCTACTATATACCAGGTCTAAAGAGTAACATCATCAGCCTTGGGCAGGCTATTGAGTCAGGATGCGACGTGAGAATGAAAGAAGATCATCTAACCTTGCATGATTGTGATGGAAGACTCTTGGTTAAGGCACATCGATCTCGTAACAGATTTTACAAGGTTCGAATGGAGGTTGAAGCTACAAAGTGTTTACAGCTTATGGATCTAAACGATTCTACAAGATGGCACGCGAGACTAGGACATATTGGGTTGGAAAACATGAAGACCATGATGAAAAAGGAGTTATTGGAATACCAAATCTAACTGTTGAGAAAGAAACATGTACATCATGCTTACTTGGAAAACAAGCAAGACATATGTTCCCAAAGGCGACATCTTACCGTGCACAGAACATACTTGAGCTTATTCATGGTGATCTTTGCGGACCAATTACACCATCAACACCTGCTCAGAATCGGTATATTTTCATGCTTATCGATGATCACTCGAGGTATATGTGGACGATACTCATGAAGGAGAAGAGTCAGGCGTTTGCAAAATTTAAAAGGTTCAAGGCCATGGTCGAACAAGAAACAGGAGCTTCGATCAAAACCTTCCGAACAGACAGAGGAGGTGAATTTGTGTCTCAAGAGTTTCAAGAGTTTTGTGATAATGAAGGTATTAAGAGGCACCTAAATGCACCATACTCTCCTCAGCAAAATGGCGTTGTGGAAAGAAGGAATCGGACTTTGCTAGAGATGACTAGAAGCATCATGAAACACATGAGCATACCGAATTACTTCTGGGAGAAGCATTAAGGCATGCGACTTACCTGATAAACAGAGTTGGGACAAGAACCTTGGAGGCACAAACACCTTATGAAGTTTTCAAGAATAGAAAACCGAATGTGGAACTTCTACGTGTGTTCGGGTGCATCTCCTATGCCAAAGTAGACTTGCAACATCTGAAGAAACTGGATGATAGGTCGCGAGTACTTGTGCATTTGGGCACTGAACCAGGGTCAAAAGCATATCGATTGGTTGATCCTAGAAGTCGAAAAATAACAGTAAGCAGAGATGTATTTTTCGATGAAGATAAAAGCTGGAGTTGGAGCCACCTAGGGAAAGAAGGAGAAAGAAACTCAGGAATGTTTACTCTTGGTATCTTGGACAAAGCATCGGAGAAGGTGGAGAGGATAATGAAGCCGATGAAACAGAGCCAATTCTCGATGAAAATACAAACCAAGAGGAAACAGAGTCAAGTGAAGAAACAGAACAGCAGATACCAGAAGAACAGAGTATAGCTCAGCCGCTAAGAAGGTCAACAAGAGAGACTAGAAGACCTGGATATCTAAGCGATTTTGTCTGCTTGGCCGAGCTTGAGGGTGAGCGTCTGCTGCTATGTATGAATGATGAGCCGTGGGACTATGACAAAGCACTCAAGGAATGGAGAGATGCATGCGAGGAGGAGATCTCTTCCATTGAAAAAAACAATACTTGGAACCTTGAAGATGCTCCCATCGGAATCAAGCCAATTGGGTTGAAGTAGGTCTTTAAAATCAAAAGAAATTCTGATGGCAGCATTAACAAGTATAAAGCTAGATTAGTAGCAAAAGGTTATGTGCAGAAGTTCGGAGTGGATTTTGAAGAAGTTTTTGCTCCTGTGGCAAGGATCAAAACAGTTCGTCTCATCATAGCACTGGCTGCATCAAACGGTTGAGAGATACACCATCTTGATGTCAAAACGACTTTTCTTCATGGAGAACTAAAGGAAGTGGTATATGTCACACAGCCTGATGGATTTGTTGTCAAGGGGAGTGAAGACAAAGTTTATAGGCTGAACAAAGCACTTTATGGACTGAGACAAGCTCCTAGAGCCTGGAACAACAAATTGAATGCTATCCTTAATGAGCTTAAGTTTGTCAAGTGCTAGAAGGAACCGTCGCTATATCGGAACCAAGAGAAGGATAAACTCTTGTTGGTGGCTGTCTATGTCGATGATTTGCTTGTTACAGGTTCAAGTTTAGATCTCATTCTGGAATTCAAAAGAAAGATGGCTCGCAAATTCGAAAATAACTTACTATCTCGGCATAGAAGTTCATCAACACCAAGGAGGCATTGTACTCAAACAACAAAGGTATGCGACTAAGATCCTAGACGAAGCAAGTATGGGAGAATGTAACTCGGTTCATATACCAATGGATTCGGGATTAAAGTTGTCTAAAAGGGCATTGATGAAACAGAGTATCGGAAAAGAATCGGATGTCTACAATATTTGCTTCACACACAACCCGACTTGTCCTTCTGTGTTGGCGTACTCAGCAGGTACATGCACGAGCCAAAGGAATCTCATGGAGTAGCCTTGAAACAAGTGCTAAGGTATCTGAGGGGAACTTTGTCCCTTGGACTTAAGTTCTGTCGGGCTAATGGAACAGAACTTACAGGTTATAGCGACAGTAGCCACAACATTGATGTGGATGATGGTAAGAGCACAACCGGACATGTTTTTTATCTGAATAACTGTCCTATTACATGGTGTTCTCAGAAACAGGAAACTGTTGCAATGTCATCTTGTGAAGCCGAGTTTATGGCTGCAACAGAGGCTGCAAAACAGGCGATCTGGCTCCAAGACCTACTCAGCGAAGCCATTGGAGATGTGTGCAAGAAAGTGACTATCAGGATTGATAACAAGTCAGCAATAGAACTTACAAAGAATCCGGTTTTTCACGGAAGAAGCAAGCATATACATAGAAGATACCACTTCATCCGCGAATGTGTTGAAAATGAGTTGGTAAGAGTTGAGCATGTTCCCGGAACAGAGCAGAAGGCTGATATTTTGACAAAACCCCTTGTAAGAATCAAGTTCAAGGAAATGAGGAAGCTTATTGGAGTTGAAGATGTGGAAGGAGTAGACTTCAAGCTTAAAGGGGAGAATGTTGGATTAAGCTTGAAGTAAACTTGAGCAGTAAGTTTTTCCTAAACAGATTAGGAATATATATATTTAGGAGTTATCTAAATATACTTAGGAGTTATCTAAGAAAAGGAAAATTGTATTTCTAATTGGTTTAGGGTTTAGGCAATAAGTCTCTATATATATGAAGTCACCAAGTTGTGGTAGACTCATGAGATTATAGAGATAGTTTGAGAGCTTTAAGTTTTGAGTAATTTTCTTAAAGCAATAAGAAGAGTTATTTCTTAATCTCAAGTCTTTGCACTTTACCCATAAGCTGGAGTAGCGTCCTCGCAACCATGTAGATCATGCTTCACCTTCACCATGTTCTGTGCTATGATCCAGGCAAAGTAGGCAAGTCGTGGGTCGTCCATAAATGGCATCTAAAGTGTAATGAGCTCGGTCTTCAAAACACATCCCATGTTGGCTCTAGAGAAATTCGTGCGTGCTAAGAGTTTGTGCACAATTCTCACTGCAGGATGAGTAAAGATGGCTGATTTGGATTTCCCGCTATCATAGACGCCATGACCCATCTCTCTCCATAAGTCAAAATCGGGTTCTTCTTCAAGGTGAATGCCATCAGTGTATGGAAGTTTAAGAGCTTCACAAGAAGAAATGGTGAGCGAGTAAGTCTGTCCGCGGATAGAGAATGACAAGATGCCGTCAGATGCTCTGGGGTTCCTCCTCTTTGTGTGGTGGAGTGTGACAGTTTCTAAGAACTCGCGGACTAGCTCGGGATAAGTTGGAAGGTTCAGCTCCATGTAGGGTCTCAGCTTAAGTGCATCGATGTACCAGATCACATCCTCTCTGATTCCAAGCATCTCGAGTGTATGATAATCAATGCAAGGCGTGGGTTTGATGTTCAGCTTCTTGAAACATCTTGCATAGTCCACTCTCGGGTTGATCTCTTTCCCAATGTATCAGATCTGTGGTGGCTCGGGAACTGCTCGTGTTTCTCTTGAGTGCTGGAGCAGCCTCATCACGTAGTTTCTTCTTCTCGGTCTGGCTTGGTTCAGCATGTACTCTCCAAGAGTACTGATAACACCGTATTTTGACCACTTTTATGGATCGTTTTGAAATATTTTTTCTATGTTTTCTTATTGCTTTCAAGTACTTTTATTACGTTTTTCTAGTATTTGTAGTTCCAAGACTCTTTTCAGGAAACTTAGGGAAAAACTTAACAAAATAGATAGAAGACCAGATTTTTAGCTCATAGTCAAACCGTCAGAAGTTTACCCCCGATTGAAGGCCTTCTCACCCTCTGATCCAGCTCAAATTTGGAGATCTCAAAGATGGAAGTATCAGCTTTATAGCACACTTTACAGCTTGGCAGTCCAACGGTTCAATCAAAAGATACGCGAACAACAAAATATCCTGTAAACCAGCCGGCAAGCGTTTCCACCTGCGGCCAACAGGCCATTTCCCGCGGTCACAGCCATCCCGACCGCGGCCAGCCATCCATTCCCCGCGGTCACACTCATCCCGACCGCGGCCAGCCAACTCCGAACCCGAATGCCCATTTCTGAAGCCCATATAATTTTCTCAGCCTTGATTCCGGAATCCTAGACCCCAAAGATGTCTTGAGAATTATAAATACATGGTTTAGGAACCCTAATTCGTATGACCTCATATGCTCTTATTGTTTTAGAATATCTTTTAAGTTTTTAGGTTTTAGGGAGACAGAAATCTATCTCTTGAACCCTTGTTCTTTCTTTTTCAGTTTCGGTTTCTGTACTACTTTTTAATACTATGTTTTTGATTTCGTTTATCATGTCTGAGTAGTTTTATTGTTGGGTCTAAGAGATTTTCGATGGGGATACATATGTTCGATGAGGATTCCATGCGCTATTGAGCCGAATCTTAGAACTTTTTCTTCTGAATTTGTTTTTACTGCATGAGAGTAGCGTCATGAACTACAATCTGATCCAGATGCTTGGTGACATGAAAGTGTTCATCCGGTATCAGATCTAGTTTGGGAGAGCAAAACAAACATAGGAGTGGAAACCTACCTATGGGCGATTTGTGAATGCTGACGAGTCTTAAACATAATGCACCTCTTCTTTTCTAGGGCCAGAGTGGAAACCTACTGGTCAGGATTGAGAGAGATAGTTGTCTATGATCACGACAGTGGCGTATTCATACGTCCGTGACTCCAGTTCGAAAATTTTAAGCTAAGATCTTATCAAATTTACTCTCTAGCAATGTTTTGAATCGTTCATACCCCTTAGAAAACTTCCCTGAACCCCATCGCTTTCTTTTCTATAGATTTACACCGATTTTCATTCAAGCTTTAGTCTAGTTTTTTAACTCTTTCAATCGATGTTCACTTAGCAATTAGGTTTAGCCGTTTTTCTCGTTTTTACCCGTTTTCGTTA